CATGTACCAGTATCTGAGAAGAAAGGAACGAATAAGGAAATACAGATAAAGAAAGGAAAGACGGAGAGAGTGAGAGAAGAAAGAAAGGTGGGACAAAGAAGACAGAAGGAAATTGTGAAAGTAAAGCTAAAAGAAGACATGGAAGAAATTCTTAAGGAGGTATAAGCAACCGTGAGAAGAAATACAGGAAGGAGGAACGCAAAACACGAAAGAAAGGAGAGATAAGGTACAAAGAAATGTGGGAAGGAAAAAAAGGAAAGCCGATGGAAAAGGAGGATGGTGGAATACGGGAAACGAATAAAATAAAAGGAAAGTAAGAATTCTGCCAGCTTCCCTTCGCCCCTAATTACAACACCTCCAGAATTGTGGGCCAGTGTCTTTTTACACCGAATGATATTAATGGTAATAACAATTATACTCGTGCAGTGGCCGTTAGATTAGGTGGGTGAGGTGGAACGTGCGAAAAATCTAATCCTAACTGTGGAGTTCTCAGTCAGTTTAAAAATTGAAGAAAAAAATCATTAATAAACAAGGAAACTATAGGTCGGAGTAACTCTGCGTACTTTTCTGGGTAGCTTAAAAATCGGGAACCCGGATTGGAAATCGGCTCTAGGCATGGATGTGTGGATGTATACAGCACGTTTCTGTGTCGTGGTGTTCTGTGTAGTCTTGCGAAGGACCGATCCTCGGTCCAAGCAGTTCTAGGTTTCTAAAGGATATATTATTTCAGAATTATATTTAAAACAGAACCGATTACTGAGCGCAATTTTTAAACGCTCAAAATAAAAATATTTAGAATATAAATTGAAACGAAATTCAGGTAAAAAACAAACCAGCAAAAATTACGAACGCAGGAAGAATACGGACTTGCCCAGTGGTTTATGTTTTGACGTCAAGCGATTTGCATGTGTGTTTCTGATTAATTAACCGTTACTAGTTTAGTAAATGTTAAACTGTTACACAATGCTCATTGAATTACGAAAGCATGCCATGTTTTATGCATCGAGTGTTTTGGTTTGCTTTCAAAGTTAGTGGCAGATGATGGATTGTGACATGGTGGAAGGGGGAGAGAGAGCGATTTGAATGGAGCGATTAAGAAAGCGTGTTTGTCCGTCAAACTGTATGTTTAGATCTGACCAGTAACGCGTGCATTATTTGCACAAAGTGCGTGAAATGAAGATTTAATGGGGAGGTTGTGTTTCCGTATGTTTCATCTGCGAAACTCCTTCATAGATTTCAATGAAATTTGGTACAAATAGAAGTTGTGAGGCAGATTTAATTTTGGTTTCTGCATTTTACAGAAGGCGAAATTTTGTCGGTAAAAAATCTCATCGGACAAAAATCGATACGCAGAAAGAAAAGCAGTTATCTCAAATATCCAAAGGTTATATTTAAAATATTACCGTATAGACTGTAATGTTTTTATGGTGAGAAAGGAACAGTAGTTATGCTTCTATGTAATTTTGTCACCAGTAGAATCCTCTTTCAGAGTTAACTACTAATTTTGTTTGTAGAAGTTACTGGAAATCACTTCTGTTGATTTCGATGTAATGAATCAACTTCTGATCAGACATTCAGCGTTCGTCAGATCGTGGACCGAAAATGGGAGCACAGATAGCATAAGACATGAAATACGAATAATAAAATGGGTAATTGGTTGTTCTAAAAAGATAAATATGTAACATACATAAAGAAATATGAGAAAAAGTGAGGCAGCAGGAGTTTGACAGTGAAATAGCAGCGCAGGTTAATGAGACGACAAAAGAGATGAAGAAGATTTTGCTGCTGTTACAACACTTTGTGAAATGACTTTTTCTTAAAATGTATAAAAATGAATTTTGGCTAAGAATGTCTCCAATTGATTTCTGTTTGTTTATTTGTGCATTTTCTTAATAAAAGCTGCGAACTTTTCAAACATATAATGCAGTCTGCAAAACTTCAGTGCCGTAAACTGAGTGATGCTAGTGCTGATCCTACTTCACGAATTTTCACTGTCATTGCGTTGGTATTGGAGACAACGTTAATAGGTGCCGCCGATCTGGGTGGGCCCCAATGCCACTCACGTGCGTAATGCGCGCACACACATGCTCCTTAACAGGGTTTCGAAAATATAATTTCTCCTTTTTGGAACTACTGGAACATGGTCGAACATTTTTTGTGATTTTGCATACCTCATTGGCCTCTATAATTACGTATTGCTTATCTGTTGTTGCAATGACTGCATACAGGCATGCATTACTTTTCTTTATACTTAATTGATACGGGAAATGGGGCAAGTATGAGCATAGTTAAGGACACTTCAAAAATTATACTTTTAGTTCAAATTAAAGGATACAGGTAAGAGTCGCTTACCGAAGACATGTAGCCATTTCCAGTACCAAAGTCATATATACCGACTTGAATTTGGCTCGTCTGCAATGAAAATCAGATTACCATGTCATTGTGCCCATGTGCGTATAAAAACTGCATAACCATTTTTACTCAATACGCGTCACCGACATGCAGGGTGCAATTATAAAAAAATTACAAAGGAAAGCTGTTTTATTGAAAAAATACCCAAACACATATTCTGAATGTGTTTTCTTGTTTATACGTCACTGAATATCTGAACTCCAAATATTATTATTCCGTTTTAAATCTCAAATGAGCTACTAAATATCATAACATTAATTCCAAATTCTTATTGTAGTCATCAAATATCTTATTCCCTAAGCTAAACTGTGCTTTTATTACCTTAATACGAAGTCATCATACCCGGAAAGCTGATACTGGTTTCAAAATGTAATGACACTGTTAGGTTTAGAGACTGAATTTGAATCAACCACTTCTGTGACTTGTATATACGAGCGAATCAAAAATAAAGTTCGCATTTAATAAACATTTACGTTTTAATCCAGATGTACAGGAAAATGAAGCAGAAAGAACAATAGTTCTTATTTTACCGCAGCCGAAACGTTTCATCAGAATCGCCAATAGCATGTACGCTTTTCGATAAAACTCCACTAGGTCACAGATACAAGAAAAATTTAAGTTCCTCGTAACATCTACAGTGCTCATGTTTGCCTGAATTCCCCATATACAATACTATCCGAAAATAAGTTGTAGATCTTAAAAAATATTTATATTTTTTGAAAAAATATTTTTCTGTGTGATAACTTTTTTTTTAATAAAGTCGTTAAAGTTATGTATGGTGCATCTTCAGAGTTGTGGGATTTGAGTTCTTGAACTTAGATTAAGTCATCTGGGTTGTGTAGTCTTGTATGTATACCGGCATTACGCACGAACATGGCTTTATGGTTGCCGCTGATGTTACAGTGGACCAGTATAGGCCAAAATCAACAAAATAAATTTTTCCCGACAACTTTTAGTCGCGATTTACTTGTTGCAATGAACGCAGCCTGCCGCTGCATAATTCCCACAGACTTCTCTATGCATGTCTCGTCTGAGCTGTTATGTATGGTTATGAATCATGCGCAATCGTCATTCCATGACCGAGTAGGAATACACTACACTGCCGCTCCAAGCGGCCGAAGAGCGCAATTACTCATTACACCGTGTTAAAACAACCAGTCAGATGTTACTCGAACTGTTTTGTTAAAGTGCTATGGCAGTGGTCTGACGTACGACCGTCTGATTTGTTTATTGGGTATACCAATTGTGCATGACTGTGCCAAATGACTGCGTTTTGCCGTTTAGGTGGTCATGCCATAGTTCAAACATATACGAACCTACCTATCCATCACTTTTATGTAGTGAAAATAGTAATTCCTGTCATTGAAACTAAAGAAACACTGCTATTAAATACAGTTGGCCACTTCTTGTAATTCTTATTACAACGAAGTGGTTGACAAATTTAAAATGTATTATTCTTAACCAAAATTAAATAGCCGATTAAAAATAGAATGATATTAATCAATTAACTCTTCGGTTGTCGATTATCATATCATTAGTTTGAATGCCTGTGCATAATAAATAAAGCTGTCCCACTGAGAGAGATATAGCTCCTACTCATTCTTGACCAGCACTTGATGGGGGGTAAGTGGTCAGTATCACTCCCCAGCCGCGCTTTACCCCCAGGAAGGACCCCGATACCCATAGGAGGCTGGGTGGGCCCCAGAACCGGTCTGGACGCAGAATCTAAGAGGAAAAATCTTCTGACCCCGTCGGGGATCAAGCCCCGGTCTTTCAGTCCGTAGCCAATCACTATAATGACTGAGGTACGCCGGCTCCCTGTGTATAATAAGTAAAAGTGCAAATGCGGCGAAAATAACCTTTAAAGTTTGTAGATTCTTTTACAGATATTTTTCGGAGACTGTAACGTCATGTTAAGTTTAAGTTTTCTCGGTGATAAAATTGTGGATATGGTTATCTGTGTTGTGCCGAACTCATGTAATCTGTGTTAACACAGACGATGTGACTAATGTATGTTATCCTTGACTAGGATAGGTAGTCATCCATAGGCGGAGCTACAAACGTTTTCCCGCGTTGTGCATTTGCAAACTGCGCATGCAAAAGAATAAGTCAATGAGGCCAACCTAGGAAGAAAGACACCGGTTAACGCGGTATTTTTGATCAACGGTAGGTTAGGATAGGATGTTCGATTTAGTTATCATTTTATTTGTTTACTAAATTTGACTAGAGGTTTGCGCAGTTTAGGTTCAGCTAATTTAAATACGGTTGTCTTATGGAATGTTGTACTGTGTAGTCTGGTAGATAATGACCGACATTTCAGAGTTCGCTGCGATCATTACTCTGATGATGGAGGTAGTGAGTTCTTCCGAAACGTTGGTCAGTGGGATTTTGACCTCTGAGTACTGCATATCTTGGTAGAAGTATTTTGTGAGGCTGTGCATCTTATTTATGTATTTAACAGGTTTTACAATGTCATGGACATCATCTTCCTGCTCACATTTCAAACAGACCAAACAGAATATTTGGATCTTATCTGTTTTTAATAATAAAAGGCTTATGTGATGTACTGCATGCATTATGTGTTTCAGTCATGAGGGTGCAAAATGTGGCCGGGCTCCTCTTGATGTTTATTGTGGCAGTCTGTTCCTATCCACAGCCATCTCAGCCACCACTCAACATCTCAACACAGAAGCCAGGTGCATTGAAAATCATAAGTTTTATCAAAGTATTTGATGGGGAGGTAGTCTATTTAGTATTTGTATACTGATTTTTTGTTTGTGTTTAAATCATGTTGGGAACCACAAAGACAAACATAATTTTGATTGGGGAACCTATTTTAAATTAGGCATCTGGGAGTATAATATTAAAATGTATCTCAGGGAAGTGGATTCTTAGAATGTGAACTGAATTGAATGGACTTCATATTGGGTTCAATGATGCATTTTGTATTAATGGTGTTAACTATCATATTCTTTTGCTAAATGTGTATTGAATGATTTACAAAGGAAAATATTTTATTTCTGTCAGTGGGATGGATCATGATTCAGTGCAGTGAAGTATGGTATCAACGACAGATTTGTTAAGAATACAGATGCAAGGATAGAGTCAGAATCACAAAGAGCATATATGGACTATTTGTGATACTACTTTCCATTTTGATTTTCCTGGTGTTTGTCTAATTTGAATGTATGTATGTCTTTCTGTCTGCTTGTCGCTTTGTCATTGGGCTCAGTGATAGGGGTCACACAGAATTCTGCCTTTTAATTTTACCTAGACATAAACAGAGCTAATCTCCAAAATGTCAATTTCTTTTTCATTGTTGTAAATTGAGTTAAGCAATGGACAGTCTACAAATATATTTCCATGGCTGAACTGAGTTTATAATTAGCAGTTATCCAAACATCCATTGCCACTTTTCTGTTCCTACTCCTGTGGATTAAAAATGTAACTCTGTTAAGGCTATTATTTTGTTTCAGATCGTTGTGCAAGTGCACCTGTATTGGGTCCATGCAAGAACTATGTGTATAAATGGTACTATGACAGCAGCCTGGGTCATTGTCTTATCTTTGTATATGGGGGCTGTACCCCATCTGATGTTGATAATAAATTTGACACAGAAATGGAGTGTCTGTACTACTGTAGGGGTAGAGACTGTAAGTATATTTCTATCTGTAGGGTGAGATGTATCAGTAATATATATATGTATATGAGGGAAATATGAAAGTGTATAAAATATTGACTGGAAACCTTGATAAAAGAAACTGCTTGCAAGACTGTATTTTACAATTACGTTAGTGGAAAAGGCCAGTTTTAATTTAATGTGGAATGATTTCTTTATTACCTTTGTCCCTTTATGTCCTTTCTTCCTTTTTATTATTACTTTTGTGCCTTCCTGTGCTTTCTTCCAGATTACTTTTCCATCCCTATTCTTTCAGAATTTTTATCATCCTTATACTAATAGCACTTCTGCAAGTTGTCTAATGGTACCTGCACTTGATAATAGAATATTTTTTTATCTAATGTTGTTACTAAGAACGTCCTGCCTCTGTGACTGAGCAAACGTGAAAACATCACACTCACTTTTGTGTAATACAGATCTCCCTGCTGTGCCTGAAATTAAATGTTACACACTTCAGAATTACAGTTATTACAATTAACAACTGGAAAATCTGTTTCACAATGAGATGATGGTTGCAACAGAGGGTTTTTTAGAATTATGAACATTACTGACCACAACTTCACAACATGTGTTTATATTAATTCCACAGTCTCTGTGTATGAAATATAAGACTTTTTGTAACCTTTTGCATTGTTTCCTCAGATACATTGTCACCCTACTTGCAGCCAAGGGAGTATGAGGAGTCGAAAGAAGATCAACCTGAAGGGGTCATAGAGAAGAAGGAAATCCTCAAGACTACATTACAGCCTCAAATTACATACTTTCCTACAGTCCCGACACCTCCACCTGTTCCTCTAGACAAGAGGGGAGAAGAGCTCACATTTGAGGAGACAGGGCACCACAAAGTGTTTATGTTTGCGAAGAGTAATACTTTCATTCAACTGGATGGAAACCGAATACCAACATTCCAACTCAGGTAGTGACATTCATATTTGGGGTGGGAACTGTAATGTTAAAAGCCCATTCTGACCTTACCTGTTTCTGAGGCCCTGGATATTATGCTTGGACAAAAGTTTTTTTTTCCTGTTTTAAATTTTTTCCCATCTCAAGCTGTGATTTAACCACAGGTATATCATCCTTGTTTTTATCTGTTCTCCTTTTTTTTTCTTATTATTCTGCTGCTTGTTCTTATTCTTCTTTTTCTTAGTTTCTCTTCTTGTTTACCTACTTGTTTTCCTGCTCCTACTGCTTATTATCTTTATTTCCCCCATGTTTTATATATGCTTAGCATGTAGCCAATTTTTTGGCTGAGTGCTGTCCCACACTTTTGTGTACAAGAACAATACGTCTCTCATGATGGACTTGTGTCCCAGTTGAATACCAGTCATAGTACTTTTACCATGGCTTTACAAAGATTACAGCAGTGTGATATTGTGTGATTTGCAGATTGTGCCGTGAAATATCATTCCAGTTTCGCACCAGGCTACCGCATGGATTGCTCGTGTACCACAGTGTAAAAGGTCGACCAGAGGGATTGGACCCATATGCTCTGTATGTGATTGTGGAGAAAGGGCAGCTGAAAGTTGTGCATGTGTTTGGGAAACACTCAACCTCTATCACAGTGGGTGCAGGTGAGGTTGGCAACTACATGGCCTCTCATGTTAATTTCAAATATATTGATTCAGATTTTACATTCTGGAGTCTGCCTGCGTATCTACATTAGCTGGACACTTTTCAGTTAAGGTATTGATGAAAAATTTTATGAATTGTAGATTCTAAACAAAACCCTGTAATTAGGACACTCCCATTCCAGAAGTGAATTTCTTTGCCCTTGCCAGGCAGGAAGATGCCAGAAATGTCAAACGCCAGTAATCAGAGGCATTGGAAAGAAGAGTCAAAAGAGTACTTTAGTAGAGTACTCATTTTTTTCAAGCAAATTTTTGCTGTTTTTATATTCATTCAATCAATTGCTGTAAAGCTAACCACTCTACATGGATTCAGAAATCATTCATTTTATATTATTAATTATTCTCCATATCAGAAAAGCTTCAAATGAAAGTTGTAGGTCTGAATGGATTGTATTTTATGGAATTGTTTTATAAATGTTTAATATGTGCCATTTTAAACAAAATCTGTGAAGTATAATATGTGCTTCATGTGAAGTAGGGGTTACATTGTAAGAGTACAAACTGAAATTACGTTTGTCAGCGAACTTGGAGTATAGACACTCGGTTACAAATATTTTTATCAAATTCTCTTTGGTACTTTTAGAGATGAAATATACAGATGTACTTTACCTCTGTAATCACTGCATGCAAATAATGAATTAAAACAAAAGATGGAATGCTATGCTTGTTCAACCAGACTACACAACTTGATACAAAACAAAGAAACAAATATTACATAGTGTTGTGATTGCTTGGTGCTTCTTGTTTTGTTTATTACAAACTTGTGTTACGATACAGGTTTGAATCGTGATATGTGGCACAATGTAACTGTTACCATCGATGTGCACAGGACACGACTTATAGCAAAGGTGGATTCTAAGCAGGTGGAGACATCCATTTTAGGTTTGCATCCATCCATCAACTATGGTGTGTCATCTGATCTGCCATCAGTTGTACTGATTGGAGGTAAGGCTTACTCAGATCATCACAAGTGAAGAATTGAGGGGTTACAGTTCTTACATTTTTCTCTGTAAAGTTGTTGTAATGTGGGTAAAAAGTTTTCCTTCAAGTTTCTCCATAGGAAAAAGTCCAGTGGAGTGAGGTCAAGTGCCTGTGGAGGCCATGCAGTTGGCCTTCCATGCCCTATCCTTACCTCTGGATACATTGTGTCTAACCATTGTCAGACATTTTCCCCATAGTTTGGTGGGTTTTCATCATGACTGAGTCTTCAACATCCAGAGTAGTCACCTCTGGTCACGGACTAATCCTCATACTATTCATGCACATGTTATCAAATTTGTTTTAGTGTAAACATGTGGGCTGGTATCATGAGGAACATCCTTGGCGGCATTCACCTGCTACCACATCAACTGGATGCTCAACCATGTTGTTTTTCTTTAAACTGTTTTGCTGGGGCTTCTTGCCCATAATGTATGACAGAGGTTGTGATTACAACATGTGTAAAATATGTTGATTTTGATTCATTGCATATACAAATCTATTATTACACACTACAGATATAACACTAGACAGAGTCATAAATTATTTTTCCTTGTATTTTGTTAAACATTTGTCACATTGAAACATTTTAGGTGTGTTCACCTAGATCTTCTGCAATTCTATCTTGTCTATATATTTTCTGCACAACAGACTATTTTAAACAAATTGAGCAAAGTTTGATTTTAACTTAAAGTAGGGGGATATATGATTGTTAGAAACCAAAATTAAATTTGTGTGACAGATTTTAGTGTAGGCTGATATAAAATCTCTTCAGTGGTTTTGAAGATGAAACATGGGCCAACATATGGGTAAAGCTTCGTCTCTGTAGAATAATTTCATGCATTTTGTTTGTGAAATGTATGTAAATTGATGAGAAAGGGAATCAGTGACACAGCCAGTGATATGTCCACAGGCCTGAGTCCAGAAGAGAAACTGCATGGTGTGAAGTATATAATTGAGTCATTTGTGGGATGCATCAAACAGATGGTGTTGAAAGCAGGGAAGGCTGCCTCTGATCTGCTGCCCATCAACCCCCTAATTGCAACGAAGCATGAGAATGTTGTAGAGGGATGTATTGACAAGTAAGTGTGATTGCAGATGCTTGTATTGAATGATGATAGTATTGGATTGAGAGTTCTTTCATCGTTGATTATTTTCTTTGGTCAAATAACTGAATACAATTTATTGACATTCCTAATTTTTAACTTGGTAACTTGTCTTAGAATTAGAAAAGTAATCATCCCAAACCAACATTTTCTAGTTCATATTTCATATTTTTAAATACAGGTGTGAAACTTGACCAGACATTCTAGATGTGGCAATTATATGAATATAATAAATGGTGAACAATTTGCAGTATCTGGATTTTTTAATTTTCTTTACATTCTGAATCCAAATGTCCAGATTCATTCCTTCTTGAATATGGTGAAGCTACTTATGATGGAATCCCATGGGATATGGACGTTTTTCATTTAACACAGGTTCTTATTTCCAGATCACAAAAACTGCAATTGTGAACAGTATTATTTTTTAATTTCAGATGCAAGACAAAGGAGAATCTTTGCTTTGTAGGCAGCCGCTGTGTAAACCATTATAACAGCTTAACATGTGACTGTTTTGGGCGCAAGTATGAAGGAGAGCAGTGTGACATTTACAGTGAGTTATATTGTTCCTTGTACAATATTAAGGAAATGTAAAAAACTATATCCATGACCATATAAACATGAATAAAGTGCAAAATAGTAGTAATATGTTTTTACCTATCTTTGAGCTCAGTCACAAAAGTTGAAGAATTTTGATTGGACACTTCACAATTCTGATCTCTGACCTTTGCGTAGTGAAGAGTGTTTTTGAGTTGTCTTTTTAGCACAGTTGCTAGATAAGATGACTAACCTTTTCACTGAAATGAATAGTAATCTGCCACAATGATATTAATGTTTGATTCTTATATATTATGTGGTTATGAAAGAAGTAACTTGAACTATAGACTATGAGAATCTTGGAACTGAGTTGACTGACTAAATGCTCCAAATATCAGTCATCCCATTTTATCTCCCCTATCTCATTTAATAATTCTCCTCTGCACTTTTAATCACTTGTGTAAATGATCTTAATCTTCATAGTCTGTTGAATTTTGCTTTAACACACCCAGATCACTGTAATATTTTCATATCTAACTCCTTTAAGCATCTTAAAACTCCAATATGTCTTCAATTAACACATTCATAATTCTTTTCTCTGTGACTTTTTTTGACCATAGTTGACCCATTAGTTGTATTTTTACTTTATTTGTATCTGTCCCTGTTTCAGCACCATGCATTTATACAACTTTGAAATGTGTCATCTTTATTTGTAGTATACATATCATATGACAACATTTTTAAAGTAACATTTTTACAGTGGGATAGAATGTGGAGTGCAGTCAGATTCTTTCATATATCTTCACTGATAATTAATTTTGCTCTTAAACTTTATGAATATGTGTCACTGATTGATATATGTAGAACAGGGAATAGGAAATTAGAAAATGTTCTTCTGGAGCTTATTGTGAAGTTATTTATTGTAAAAGATACACTTCAACTGTAATGTATAATGAATAATTTATAGAAAAGTTGCGTCATTTCTCCATATGGTCTATTTGTTTCAGCTGGCACGGTATTGACACTCCGTGGCTCCTCCTACATTTCATACCGTGTGTATGACTGGAAGGATCGTGTACATTCCAGTATAAACCGCATCAGTTTCTTTTTTAAAGTGAGTCTGTCAGATCAACTACTACATCGTAGGTCCACCATACAAAGAATACCACATTGTAGAGTTTTCTGTAGCTGTTTATAGGAAAGAATCCCAAACTTTTGAGACACACAACTTGGAACTATTAAAAATAATAACTGTGTTGCACACATGCTTGTGCAAATGATATAGTGTGGTGTTCCTATGTTATTGACAAAGGGATCAGCTCATTTTGCACAGTGCCTTGCGTTCTGGAACTGTCCCACAGTTTTCCTTGCTTGATTGAATTTGGCCTTCTCACAAGAACTAACTTCATGGTACATGGTGGTTACTCATGTAGTTAAGAACTTCCCCTCTTTTATGAAGCCTGAAGTTTTATTACTTTTTTCTCAAAGTGGAGTAGAGGGACCCTTTCTTGAAAGAGATTAATCAAATCAACCTCATGCCCTATTTCTTAAACATTAATATTAATGTTATCATGCCATTAATACCTAGGTATGCATTCCTCATTCCTACATCTAATCATATTTTATATCAAGTGAAGAATAAACATTATGAAGCACCTGATTCTATAATTTTGTCCACCCTGCTGTTAATTTTTCTTTCCCAGATCCTAATATTATATTCTTTGCTTTCTGAAACATCCTTAATATATGAGACTGAGTTTTACACCTATATGAAATTATGGGTATAGTTGAAGTTTTGTATGTTTTGATCTTAGGTGTCCAAATGGGACAAGGGAAATAAAGGAATCTGAACTGAACAGTAGATATTTTCTAAATTTTATCAGCATGTCTCCTAGTCATAGCTGTTCTTTCTATCAGCTGTATCTAATAAGCTGTAACTGCCTCCTTCTAAATCCTTACCTGCTCACCATTTGTGGTCACCTTCCCTTCTCATTCAACACCAAGAAATAATTAGTCTACAAGCCTTACCAAATCTCAACACATGTTACGTTGATATTCTATTATGTTGCAGACACGGTTTGATGACTCAACTCTTTTCTATGCGAGTGGGGAGCCATACTTGCGCCATTACATTGCAGTTTCCATATTGAATAACACAGTTCATGTTGAAATAGACTTTGGAGATGGTGCAGTGTTGACAACAATAGGACAGGGTTTGGTTTCTAATTACTGGAACAACTTCACAATAGCTCACCACCAGAGTGTGATCAGTGTGCATCTGAACCACGAGTCAAAAAAACTGGAACTGCCTGGTCCGAACTACCATCTGTACATAGACCCTGAGATATACATAGGGGGTGGACCTGAACTTCACAAGAAGAAAGGTTGTGCTATAGCATGGATTACTGAATGAATGTAGTCACATTATAAATTGATGCACTTGCGTGTTAGCCTTATTTACATAAACACTTCGTTTATATGTATGTACACTATGCCATTGCTTATGTAGACATAGTTTTGCCTTCTTAATGTTATTGGACTATAAGGTTTTAAGATATTCATTTCTGAGGCTTCCTTTCCCCCTCATTTTTTGAAAATTTGTGTCAAACATGTAAAATAACTTTTATTTTTAGAAGACTGAAAATCTGCATGTTTTGCTTGCACAATTTGAACACCTGGGTGTTAAGGTGTGATGAGATGTATAGATTGTTCTGTCTTGCACAACTGTACAGTAAGGGTCTTCAGAAGGCTAGTATGTAAGATTTGTGACTATATTATGCCATTGTGGTTAAAATTGAGAGTTAGATTTAAACTTGACTGTAGGAAAGTAGATGTATTTCCACTGACTCACTTATTTGGTTTTCTTAAAGTTTTAGCTCAGGTAACATTATTTTGGATATTTTAGTTCCACATCCTCCATGACATCAGTTGGGAGGGCACAGATTAAAATTATTGATGATGAAGCTGCAGTGAACAGAACACTTAACTTTATTGACAGAATATATAAAAATTCCTTCTATGCTGTAAGTGTCTCAGTCTTCATGGGCAATATCTAGTAAAACAGTTCATAAGCCATACAGTGATGTTGAGTAGAGTCCCAATTATCCAACCTTCATTTATCAAACGTTCTGTTTTATCTGATGTGCTCTGAGTTATGAGTGAAGGACTGAATTCTGTTGAGGCCACACTCCTTTATGTTGTAAAACAAAGAGAGGTGACCACTACAGATATACTACTGTTCAGGTGCTGACATGACCTTGCCACAAAGAAAAGGAAGGAGCTCAGAAGCAAATACCCATTACTGATATCTTTAAAAAGTAAACTCTTTCATTCTCAAATTTACATTTTCTTATTTGATGCCATATTGCATTTTCTTTGTAATTTAATAATATAATTTGAGTTATAAACTGAGTTGATATTTACCCTTGTCTTTTTCAATAGTCATACATATTATCCAGCATTTTCAATTATCTGACCATCCTTCGGCCCCATATAAGTGAGATAATCAGGACTAAACTGTATTGTTTATATTTCAGATCCCACAATTTACTTTACATGTAAACTTACTGACTGGCATTCTCATAAAACATGTGTGTTCACAGGCCTGATGTCACACAACAATTTTGTGGGCTGCCTAAAATATGCATTCTTCAATGACATCTCAATTTTGTATGAGCTAAAGAAGGGAAATCCCAAGGTTCACTATATTGGTGTGCTGGAGCCAGAAATGTATGAGACTGATGTCGACGTAATTCCAGTTACATTCCCATTTCCATCTTCCTACATCTGGTGGCCCAGCAGACAGAGTGATAATTTCACTCTGAAATTTGTCTTCAAGAGCAGCCGCAGCATGGCTGTGCTGGCATCCTCCTCTGTTACAACTGCTACTGGTATTGGCTACTGGGAGGTAGGTAGCTACATTCTTTTGTGCACTATCTTCTCTCCTTGAAAATAGACACCAAGGCTCTGTCATTCAACAGAACTTATGGAGATTACTATGAAAAGTCATACATTAGCTCAAGTAAACTTGACACACAAGCAGATACAGAGTTCTGAGATAAATTATAGTACAGTTTTTTCAAAATTTGTGGCACATTTTTCTCCCTGTAGTTGTGATTATGGTCATATTTTGTGCAATAAACAGAAAAATGTGTGGAGGGAATGTAGACTATGCTACATATATGATGAAAATTTATTTCCAAGTATTGTTTACAGGTAAATAGATACATTATTGATAATACATTTTAATTTTTCTCTTATAGCTTCAAAAATGTACTAAATAAATTTATTCTTATGGTACAGTGCACTGTGTCTCAAGTTAGTTGTTATCCCATTTGACATGCCAGCAGTAGTTCATCAATTTAAATGGCGTAGTTTAAAGATTTATTTTTATTTATTGTTTTGTAACTGCTATTATTATTTAAACATGCAACTCAGCTTCATTGTGTTAAAATATGTTGTGGCAGGTGCGTGTAGTGAATGACGAGATCCGGTTTGAGCTAGTTCCAGATGAAACAAAGAATATGACTCATCTTACGACAGTGAAGTTCAACTTTCGATCAAGCTGGCATGCGGTAAGAAAGTTCATCATACTTTTGTGGCTGCTAATGTATTTATTGCTGAGGGGTGAGATAATTTTAAAACAGATCTCTCATTGATTCTTAAGATATTAAATTACATTGTTTCAAAAGTAGAGGTTACACAGTGTCAGATGAGATGGGAAAATGATTATGAATTGTGAGAAGGAAAGATGAAATTGTGGCCTGTATCCTGGCATTCACCTGGAGAGACAGAGAAATACCTCTATCAGAACAGCAGGCAACTCAGAAGAGATGCAAACTGGGTACATTCAAAATGCCAAGTTCAGGTTACCGTTACACCACCATGTTTGGTGCAGATATTTAGACGTTGCAAGGTTGTGAACTGGATTGAGCTGATTAAAAATTGTATTTAATAACTGTTTATGTTAACAGTGTTGAAACTTTGATGAATTTGACTGCTAGAGATCTGTGTGTTATAGTCATGGTATTAACACTGGAAGTACCTAAGTTAAATGTAATTAGTTTATCAGCTATTGAAGGAAGGAGCCATTGTTACAAAGTCTGGACTTTGGAATCAGCTAATTATCACTTTATCATATTCATGGTCTGAAATCATTTCTTGATTAAGATTTAACTGTGTTATTGTGAAGAAATCTCTCTTGCCCTCTATTAAGAAAATTGAATTGCTTTTGGCTTTTCTCTAGTGTAAAGTATGTAAAAGAAAAATTAAAAATTCAGCATTCAAGAGGTTAATAATGGAGTTAGAATTGCCATATAATGAATGAGCATTGTTTCAGGTGTATCTGAACTACACAAATGGCGAATTGACACTCACCGTTGACTATAAGTTCAAAACAGCACAGCTTTTTGGACTTCAGTTTCAGCTGGGAGACAGAGTGGTCATTGGCAGTGGTGGCAAATCCAATCTAGGTATTTATTTTTGAGAGTGCATACTTTTAATTTGGAGAAGGGATTTGGGAAGAATTTACACACAGTATTAAAGATAAGCTGCCCCTGAGCCTAAGCAACATAGAATGAAGGTGTAAAAGGGGTGTTGAGGTGAAACTTCTGCATAAGTTGGAGCTGTATATTTAGGTCTCCATTTTGGCTGTTTTACCACTAGACAAAGAGCCCTTTGTACTCACTAGACAGATGCCTTGGTAGACCAGTCTGGATATGGTGATAATGAGAAAAATCTATTATTTGTAAACATATCAAACCCATGGTATTAAGCCTGCAAGTCAGTCACTTTGCTGAAGAAGTTACACCAGAGCCCCTAAAATGTTTGTCGTATGTCATGAATATAATATTCCTGGCTATGTTACAGCTCTTGCAGGTAGATGCTTGTGTTTCTCATTGAAGGCCCTGTTTCAATCCCAGACAGTCCATGTGGGATTTGTGATGGTTGAAGTGGTTCTGGGGCAGATTTCTCTCAGAGAACTTCAGTTTTAATGCTGACTGTCATTAAGCCAGTGAATGAGTGCAGAGATATTGGGGTCATGTCTTAATTTTGGGAATCAGATGAAAAAAGTTGGTACACAGCAAACTGAAGTGAAAGCAGTAATTCTTTAAAAATAAGTGAATTTGATTTCGAATGCTGGATGTTGTCTGACAGGACTTGTGGGTTGTATCCGAGAAGTGGAAGTGAATGGAGAACCCTTGGAACCACGCTATGTAGTGCGCTCAGAGTACAAAAATGGAAAAGTGTCTCTAGATAACTGCCAGCTAGTAGATCCTTGCAAGCGACCCAATGCATGCAAGCATGGAGGCAAGTGTTCTGTCAAGGATGACCGCATCACATGTGACTGTGAGGGCACTGGCTACATTGGCAAGAACTGTCACTTCGGTTAGTATATCATGAATTGAGAAGTGCTTACGTAAAATATTTTCTTGATTTAATTTAAATACAAAGTGTCCCAAAATATATATACGTAATACTGATGTATATAATGCTTTTGTATATGTTTTTCTGGAACAAAATATGTTTTTCATTGCTATTGCTTTGACATATTTACACCTGGCTGCCCAAGAATAGGCTTGTCAAACTTACATTTGCTAATGGGGTATTATATTAAAAATGTAATGTGTTTATAATTTGTTATGATCGGTTAATGTTTAGTTAATTGTTTTATTTAAGACTTAAAATGTTAATGTAACCTATGAAATTACAAATGTGACAGAATAATTAAGGACTACAGCTATAATATTTTACATAGAATAATATTCCTGAAAATTTCTGGAATTATACCTTAAAGGTAAGCCACCACTGATTATTTATTGAGACAGATTACAGGCATATAATTAATCTTGAAACATTTGTATTGAGCCAGTATATCAATATTTGATTAATCTTGGAACTATTTATACTGAGAAGTATGAACTCTCTTTCTGTTTCTTGAGGCAGCTGAGCATCGGAAAACATGTGAAGAACTTGCATTGCTTGGCTACACTAAGCCTGATGTCTATTTGATTGATATCGATGGTAATGGGCGCTTCCCACCAGCACATGTGAAGTGTGAGTTCCAGTCACTAGAGGATGCCACGAAGACAATAGTAGAGCACAACTTGCCCAGCCAAGTGGTGTGTAAAAGTCGCATGTTATTTACTTCCTGACTGAGATCTGTTGTTTCCAGTGCACACAATTCAGTGTTTTTGTGTTGGTTAATTTTCCCTGTCAAAAAAAGTTCTGTGACCTACTCTTTGATTAGAGGAGGATCAAATATGCCCTGTAAGATGGCTTAATGAAGAAAATACCAATGTTTCGAGAACCATCTTTGTACTCATCCTCAGGGTACTGTAGTTTTAGAGATCCCGTCTGTGTTCAGTGTCTACCTGACCCAGTTTTGTGTTATTGGCTGCACGTTAGTTAATCAGGCCTGGTGTGCATTGACATGGTCACTATTTGTAGCCAAGCTTTCTGACTGGATAACATGTTCGTTACCGGTTACCAGGTCCAGCTCAATGAGAAACCCCCGTCTCTGTTGAAGTTCCTGGAGTTCAGTTGAATTTCAATTGCTTCCTTCACGAGCTGATCCATATAACCTGTGTCTTGTCTAACACAGCAGTATTGTTGAAGTCAATGCGCTATCCAGCATTTATGCCGTGCTCCGCAAGCAATGTGTACAGCTCATAATTCTCTTGTTTTATAGAGATTTGAAACTGTTTTACCCTAAATGATGAACATAAATTGAGGTGTTTGAGGAGAAGGTACTCTGAGTAGAATATTTGAGTCTAAGAAAGAGGAAGTAATGGGAGAATATAGAAAGTTACATAATGAGCTTAATAATTTGTACTTTTCAGTATATATTATTTCTGTGATAACATTAAGAAAGACAGTCATGGTATTCATAGAAGATTACAGGCCTAGCTGGAAAACTGAGTTTTTTTCAGTGCCCTGCTTATGAATCCCATTCAAAACATCTGTTACCAACCAAGTAGATAAAGACCTTTCGGAGGCCCTACAAATACTGGCATGAGATTATAACAGGCCATGGGGTTTAAGGTGTGGAAGGTTGATGGCGATAATGAAACTAAGAACGATGAAAGGGCATGGGAGAGATGAAATATGCATATAAACTTCAGCTTGAAAGTGTGAAAGGAAAAAAAAACATTTGGAAGACCAAGGCATAGATGGAACAGTATTAAAATTGATGTTTGAGGAATTAGGTATGAAGGGGTGGGCTGGATTGAACTGACTGAGCATGAAATCTGATGTTGTTTGTGAACATTAATAAGAATGGGGAATTTTATGATGATCTGAGAAGCTATCAGTTTTTCTGGAAACAACCTGTACTTCAGAGTTGGGTAACAATTTTTAGAAATTAAAGAATTAGATTAATATTTTATATTTCATAACCAACTCAAGGAGGACACTGTACCCCCCACATGGGGAGATTTGAATAATGACTGTGAAAGGTTATTTAAAACAAAAGAGTGAATAAATGCAATTTTTCTGTCTAATTATTAGTTGCAATTGGTTGGTGTCCTGTTTAGGATGTTCGGAGTTCCATGGATGGAGATTTTAGCTTCAACATCAGTTACCGAGAATTTACAGCGGAGATGATGCAAGAGTTGATCTCTCACTCCCTCTATTGTAGTCAGAAAATCAAGTACGACTGCTACAAAGCACCACTTGAGCTGCATTCTGCCACTTGGTTTATATCATCAATGGAATCTGACATAGTTGACTATGTGGGCAGTGTGAAGCGAGGGATTTGCCCTTGTGCAGGTACATTGAAGAACTCCCTCCACTCTGGTGTATGCGTCTCTTTTGAGTGCTCTGTTTCCAGTTTGACATCCTCAACTGGTGCCATTGTTTATTCATTGCAGATGCATATCTATTTTTGATAGAACTAATCACCTTTAATATAAGGAAGTATAAAATATGTTGACATTTCTGATGAACTAGTCTTATTTCTCCTTGCATTTCACTAAATATTTACTGTATAAAATATTTTATTTACCAGTATTTTGTATGGCAAAACTTTTAGGAAATGTTATCAATTTCGTTTTTTAATGGTATGTAAAGCAGGATTAAATTGGATTTATATGGATCAAATAATATTCATGTTCCAGTTTTAAGTTTAGACCTGATGTATCAAATTTACAAGCAAATGAAGTTTATCTGAGATTTGATTTAATACCTGTAATTTTGTCAATTTTTATTACAGCCTTCTATGTGGAAAATAAATAACAACTGCAAATGCATATGTTTATAGTGAACAAGACATGTTTGGACCCTGCCCGCTCATGCAACTGTGACATTTCTGAACCAAAGTGGCATTCTGATGAGGGCTATTACACAACCCCAGAGAGTTTGGGCATCACACAGATGGTATTCCTGCAGCAGAAGAACCTGGATGTGGATGCACAAGGACGTATCACACTCGGACCCCTTGAATGTGTGGAAACTAGTGAGTGTTCCAGAAAATCTATTTGTAATTTGTTGAAACTATAATCTTATTTGTGTGTTTGTTTGGGTAAGCAATATCTCCTCTCAGTTTGATGAACGAGAGAGCTGTATGTTGGCCAGTGCCTCACATATTTCACACTTCTTGGTTTATAGTCATTGCAACAGAATTTTATGAAGAATACAAATTATGAAACTCTCCATTATACTTTTCTCCATATCCTGTTTCTTCATATGTGTGAGATGCAGCTGCTCTCCTCAACAATTTGTTTTTAAACTTTCTCAATCTGTTTTATGCTTGTGAATGAGTTTGAGCCAGATTTATGCTATAGTCAGAATATTCTGATATTTTCAGACACACAGCAGTATGTTGTTACATTCACATCAAGCCAGTCATACATCGAGGTGCCAGGCTGGAGGAAGGGTGACATATCCTTCAGCTTCAGAACCACTGGAGAGAAAGCAATACTTTTATACCAGCCACCCATCAGGCCCAACCATCCATCCTTCATGGTGGCTCTGACAAATGGTATGCTGATATGGAGAATGGGTGGTTGAATAGGTGAATGAATGGTTGAGTGAGCAAATGAGTGAGTAAGGTGTGAATGTGAGAGAGTAAGTGAGAAGGTGAGTCTGTAAGTTGGTATATGGGGTTAGTGGATGAGTAAGTGTGACAGGTGTAGCCCTGTGACATTCTCTGTTATTTCCATTATTTTAGGTTTTCACTAAAGTAAAGATGTTGATATTGGTCTTCTGGGTTGTAACGCGTTGACTTGTAGGTAGATACTATCATTCAGAGGAACATACTGCCTTTATCTTCAGTATTAGAATTATGTTTATAAGAAATGATGGTATCTATCTACAAATCCACACAAAGTTAAATATAGAGTCTGTTATTACTGTTATATTATGACATTGTAATGAATACTGTTCAGAAACTCATGTTAATAACAAATTGCAGATTTTCAATTAACTTTTAACTTCACTCTCAACACGGGGCACCAACGTGTGATGGAAATCAAGTCAGGACGACAGCTAAATGGTGGAGAGTGGCAGAAGATCTGGATTGACTATAATGAGCACCATGTTCGCTTCATGATTAATACAGATTATCAGATGGTGGACTTACTTCCTGAAGAAGAGTTTGGGCCATTTGAAGGCAGCATGTTCATTGGAGGTGCTACAGAGTATGTAGCATTAATATAATTGATGTTTGTGCACATTTATTAGTTTAATAGTTAATTTTGCCATTAAATGGCTTTGGCATGCTTTTAAATCATTATCATCATGATAAACATGGCTGACCCACTCTTCATGTAATTTTGTTGGAATTTTATAATATAGTGATTAACACTTTGCATTTGTATTTGGAACACACCCAGTTTTGATCTCAGCTGGAGCAATGATTTCCATAGCTGAGGCTTTTTGTTGTTTTTTGCCATCCTCTCAGGTGATACCAGTAGTACTGTGATACAAGCCTAGCTTTTCCAGTTTACTGTACATCATTTCTTTTCATTGTTAATACATAACCATTCCAGTTTACATGACTAACTCCATAGTGCATAGTCTTTCTTTATTTTCACTCAGCTAATCAGGATATTCTTCCTGTTACTGTTCTGGAAAGATTGCAATTGGGCCCTATCCTGAGCCAGTTGAATCTAGTCTACAGCCTCAGATACTGGAGACAGTTTCTCTAAGATTAATTTTAATGTTATTCTTTTGTCTACACTTCGGTCTCCAAGATAAAATGTCCCAACTAAGATTTTATGTGATTTTTTTTTTCAATTTCCCTGTGCATGCTGTATATCCTGCCAATTTTATCTGCTCAATTTCATTGCTATGACAATATTAGGTGAATAGTGTGAATTATGGAACTTCTCTTGTGTCTTTCTCTTCAGTTAGTGTAGTGTCACTAATTAACCACAAATCAACATTATCATTTAGTGCTTTTTTCAATTTCTTGTTGTTTTCAGGGATCTCCTAGGATCTAGTTCAGTGCGCCAAGGCTTGATTGGCTGTTTTCGTGGGCTGATTGTCAATGGAGAAATCTTGGACATCTACTCATACATGAGTGTCCACTTATCAGAAATCATCAAGGACTGCAAGCCATCTTGTGACCCCAACCCCTGCAAGAATGGTGCAAAGTGCAAGGAGCTGTGGAGCACATTCCAATGCATGTGTGAAAATGCATGGGCCCATGTTGGCATCTACTGTGAGACTAGTATGTTTTTGCTCTGGGCAGGTGCCCTAAATTATACTACACTGTCTGTTATAGAGGGTGATGGTAGGGAGAGGAAGACCGAATAATCAGAAACAAGGCTAAAGTAAAGTTATTGTATTAAGGCATGAGAGTACTTAATTCACAAGCATAAGCTTGCTTTTCATAATTGTCATCATGTTCCCATTCTTGTTAGTTTCTTTGTATATTATTTATTAGATTTGTTAGTAATTATATAGTGTGTTGTGTGTAACAGATGTGTATACACTTTCAGGAAAAAAATTCAGCAACAAGATACTTAAATATATATTTCCAAATGTAATTCATTTGTATGGTCAGCTGATCACCCTTTGTATATAATGCATGCATGTTTTCATATGTGAATTGCATAAGTGTTTGGATTATTCTTATAACTAACTTAGTTACTGCTTGATATATCTACAGACATCAACATTGATGGACTGACCTTCCTGTCTCGTGAGTCCTTTATCAAGAAGAATTATCTGGCACAGAGTGCAGATAATGAGAGGCGCACATTATCACAGCTCATGTCTGAGAACATCCTTTTGAATGTGCGTACATATGATCAGAACTCCTTGTTGCTGTATGCCAATGACCATCTGAACAACTTCGTTCAACTTCATATTGAGAATGGGAAATATATTGTGTTCACATTCAATTCTGGCAACAAAATACACAACATCACCGTTGAGTATTCTGGTAAGCAAGATACTATCTAGAACTGTGTTCTTCACAGCATCTTTGGAAAGAGACTTGGTTCTTCTATTAAATAACTGGTAGCAGAAGTCAAAGGTTCAATACTACTTTCTTTTGGATACATGTTATATTAGTAGTTTGAAGCTACCTTCAACAGAACACTTATTTTCCTAGAGGTCTTTTCTACTTTGGTATTCCATGTTTACAGCAGTGCTGTTTACCCAAAAATTTGTAGAATATTAATATGTAAGGTGCTTTTCATAGGAATTCTGATAATTTTAGACTAAATGCATGCAAATTTTATATTAATATTCCATCATCTTTTCTTATATTTTTCATAATACACTAACAAAAGCCAATATGGTAGTGTCAGATATGTAAGGGAAACTTGATTGTGAAAGTAGTTTTGTAGGTTGGTGTTCTTAATGAAATCTGCTAATAAAATGTATTTGTGGTGGAATTCCTGGGAGACTCCATAGTATCCTGAAACACAATTTGGAATCACTAGAACTGAAGATCATACTTTTCTAATACATTTTAACACTGGTCTCCATTTTGAGATGTGAACTGGGGACCT